GAGTGTTGGTTACCTTTTTAGTATAGAAGCACAGTACCAGGCACTCACAAGGATAGTGCCTAAACAAGGCATTAAACCCCCCCGGCTTTCTGATTGACCAGAGAGCCGACTACATGCGAGCGAGCATGGAGACGGCTTGCCAGCTAATCGGGAAGCCAGGCGGCGACTCACTATACGCTGCCCGGCCTCCTTATAGGAGAACTATGGGGGTAAGGCTTTTCCCCATAGTTCTCCTTAGGGTAACGGGAGGACACAAACTAGCGCCCTCCCGTCACTCTAAGCTCAGTATACCGCGAGTTACAGCTCGCGGTATACTGAGACGCCACAGTATACCGCGAGCTGATGTGAGTGACAGCTGGCTCTGCCGATCTAGAGGCAGAGCCAGCTGTACCCGCCCCCTCCCCCGTCCATTCCGCCAGTCAGTGCTGGCGGATCGGGGAGGGGGGAATCCAGCCCCTCCCCTGTCACGGCAGAGAGCTGTGACAGGATCGGGGGGTGAGCGAACTGCAGTATGTGTTCGCTCACTTCCCGATCTACTGAGCCGACCTGTGACTGTCTCATTGTCACAGGTCGGCTAGAACTATGAGGTGAGTGAAAAGCACTCAGCTCATAGTTCTCCTTTTTAATGGGACTTCCAGTATCGGTATTCTGTATCGGCTGTACCGGGAAAAAAATATCGGCACTTGTTCTCCGATACCAATAGTTGTATCTTCTGACATAAGGCTGAGGATTTCTCAGCATTAAGTTAGTTTGTGCCCTGACTGCTCCCAACACCATTGTATCTGTAACAACCTTTTTTACTGCACTGTTACTAATTACCAGCATTGAGAACATCCTGTTCTGTGGCAGCAGCTAAAGAATCTAAATCTGTGAAATTGGGGAAGAAAGGGGGGTGGGGGCACCTAAAATTAATACACCACCGTGCTTAGTGGACCGGTGCCAGTTTGTTGTGTGGCCTTCAACTAGACTTGGCCTGTGGGAAGTATGTGATCTGTTTCACAATAGCAGACAGCTCAAAGTCATATAACTATTAGTATGACAGCAGGTCTTGTTAAGTGATGAGCGCACCCTCTCTGCTCAACCGTTGCAGTGATTACACAGCAGTCAGAGGAGTCCTCTTCAGACAGGAAATCCTCTCCAACAAGTCCGACTTGCTACAGAGTAATAGCTAATTAAATACTGATCGCATGATTGAATTCTTCTAAGCATCTTGAATAATATCCAAAATATTTTCAGAGTTCTACATATGCTTTCAGTTTTGATTACTTGTCTGAGCAGCTGTATTCCCTCCAGATCTAGTTGATTGGATGTTCAGTTGAAGCTGCTACAAGTATAATAAAAGTGCCAAAAATACATAAGCAAACTGCTATTTACAAGGCATATAAGTGTGTTTTCCTTCTGCCTGGTTCCAGAAGATAATTTTCACACACATAGCTGGATGTGTCATTAATCACCTTGATTGAGACCACAACTAGATATAGGAGAGCGTTTTAGCTGCACATAACACCTTTTTCTTTGGTTAAAACATTAAAAGGTAACTATTCACAAAAAATAAAAATGTTCTGCCATTCCTCATCCTGTCTTGCAGATGCTGCGTCCCTGGCTTTTATTACATAGTGAGCAGAAGAGGAATATCCAAATTTAGTGTTTTCCCTTTGTTGAAATTTCAGGAAAAAATTGTGAGTCTCCATTGTTAATCAATGTGAAAGGCAATATAAGGGCTCATTCACACTGGAATCGGCCGGCACGTACAGCTCCGTGCTGCGTGCACGGCAGTATCGGGCAGCTCCCGGGACTACATGGCCTACGCTCACACGCCCTGCACATCCGTGCGGGTGAGAGTACTCGTATGCTGACAGGATGGATCCTGTTTGCGTCTGAGCCGGGACACACGCACTCGTACGGACCTGCACTTGAGGTGAGCGTAGGGTGGCGTATGGCCGCGTAGTCCCATAGAGAAGGATAGGCTGCTGCGTACTAATCACACACAGCACCTGTCCTTCCCGGGAGCTGCCAGATGGGGCCGTGCACGGAGCTGTACGTGCCAGCCGATTCCCAAGTGAATGAGAATCGGTAAGTAAGTAAGGTAAGTAAGGTTTTTAAAGGTGCAATAGGCTGGTTAGGTTTACCTATCTGGCACCCGTGCTTGTGCCAAAAGGCCTCTCATCTTCTGGAAACATACTGGATATTGTAACAAACATGACTTACTATAAAAATTGTCCATTTGTTGCCCATGTAGTGTAACAATTGCCCATTTCTTTCTCACATGTAATGATTGCTATTTGTTTCCCCGTGTATTGTAAAAATTGCCGTTTGTTGACTATTGTGATGATTTGTTGTGCATGTATTCACATTTTTGTTTGTTGGCTGTGTATTGTCCTTGTTGCCCATGAATTGTCAAAATTCTATTTTTTCATTGACTTTATCATAAACTCATGCAGTCCTGTCATTATTAAGCCACACAGCTAATATCCCCATTTTTGGCCATGTTGTGTGCTCCAATAGGGCTGGTTGTGTGTTGGGGGTGGGGTGGGGGGCGGTAACATCCAAATAGGAAGGCTTTCTTCCATTAATTTTTTTAAGCAGGTTTCATGGTGAAATCTGCAATTTTACCTGAAATCACTCTGCTCATCCTTAAAATGACACTAAACGCAGGAAATAATTGTTAAAAATACAATACTCTAAGCTCATTCCCATGATGGACTACAATCGCAATACAAAATTGGTAAACTAAACGTGAGACACTAGTCCATCACAGTAGTGAGCTTGGAGTGGTGGCTACTTTACAACACACACACGGACCATGGGGAGCAAAAGTAGCCACCCTCCAGAAGGAAGGACAGTGTCAGCACCAATTCAGAGATGATCTGAGGATCTACAGCCGAGTGATATACAAATAAGATACAGTAAGTATTGAAAAGATCAGCATGACAGTCGGGCTACTAACTTTTTTTTTTTTAGAAGGGCTGAGGAACCAATCGGGTCCGCCTGACAGTTTTTTTTAGGTGGATCTGATTGAAAGTGCAGTGTTACTCTATGGGCAGCCAGATGTACAACCGTTTACATTCGGTTATTTCAAAGTCCGTCTAGATCTGGTGAACCTAATCTTAATGAATTGGAGGTAATCTGATGTAAATGGACACATGTCCACTTTCATCCAACTCCCTATAGACCTAACATGGGTCTGTACAGCTAATTATTTTTCACAAGAGTGACATCCGTTCTGCTCTGTTCAGCAGTGAATCCGTGCATGGATCCTCTGCTGATCAGAATGGGTCGGTGCTCATGTGAAAGGGGCCTAAAACGTAGAAAATAAATACCGTATTACTTTGAGTTATGTGCATCCAGGCTAATGTAATGTAAATTTGACCTTTTCTGTATATATTTTACATGGTAAGTTCATTAAGCAATAGAAAAAGAAAAAGGTGTGTTTCCAGTAACACAAGAATTTTATCTGGACATTTAAGAGTGACAACTGGAATCTTGGTGGATGACAGGAAGTCAGTATCTTTCTTTCCATTCAATTTTCCTAGAATCTGTTTAAACCTATTTTAAAACACTTTCAACATTATTGTACCAGTAAATGGGTGTGAATGGTAGCAGGGCCTATGCAATTTCAGATATGGTTCTCAGTAAATAAGCGCTGCCAGGAAAATGATCCACTGGGTTGAAAATTCCCCAGATGATTCTTATTGCTTTTCTTCCTTCAAATTGGGATAAGCTGGTGCACCACCTGTTCTTTATGGATATAGAGAGAATTTGTTACATGTAAAAAAAACGGTTATTTAGGAATCTGTTTGTTTTTGGTCTTAATGATCAGAAGCACTCTAGAAGACCTTAAAGGAGAACTATGAGGTAAGTGTTTTCCCCCATAGTTCTCCTAAGGGTTATGGGAGGACATATACGAACCTCCTTCTGTGACCCAAAGCGCAGTATATTGCGAGCTACAGCTCGCGGTATACTGAGACCGCCACAGCCGGGACGGATCCCGACATTACTGTCGAGGTCCACCCAGCTGCGTGAGTGACAGCTGGCTCTGCCTATCTAGAGGCAGAGCCAACTGTACCTGCCCCCTCCCCTGTCTGTTCCGCCAGTCAGCGCTGGAGGAGCGGGGAGGGGAGAATCCCTGCAGGGAGCTGTGACTGACAGTCGCAGCTCTCTGTAGGGAGATGATCGAGAAGTGAGCGAGCGACGGTGTGTGTTCGCTCACTTCTCGATCTATTGAGCCGACGTGTGACAGTTTGATTGTCACACGTCGGCTTGAACTATGTGGGTGAGGTGATTTTTTCACTCGCCTCATAGTTCTTTAAAGGAGAACTATGACATGAGTGATTTCCACTCACCTCATAGTTCTAAGCCGACCTGTGACAATGAGACTGTCACAGGTCGGCCCAGTAGATCGGGAGGTGAGAGAACACATACCGGGTTCCCTCACCTCTCGATCCTGTCACGGCTCTCTGCCGTGACAGGGGGAGGGGCTGGATTCGAGCTGTAGCTCGCGGTATACTGAGCTTAGGGTAACGGGAGGACGCTAGTTTGTGTCCGCCCGTTACCCCAAGGAGAACTATGGGGAAAAACACTGACCCCCATAGTTCTCCTTTAAGCTATGATGAACAGGTACATACATTCAAATTAAAAAGCAGCACACATAGATACACCAAAGATGAATTGCATTTTATGGAGACCTTTGGGGCAGGCTTCTATTATCCTGCTATTTAGTTGAATTCAACAGGGTTATTTATGGAGGTGTTTGAGGGAAACAGTCCATGCTGGCCAATGGTGACCAATCATCTCCAAGTAATTTTCCCATAATTGGTTGCTTTGAGGCAACACTGAGCACCTGAAACTATTTTTTGTTCACATTCCTGAATAAACACCCTTACCCCTATCTATAGCTGTATTGCATTGTATGTTGATCTGTGTCAGACTGCTCTTATCTTTTCCCAGAACAAACCTTGAATGTGAACCTGTTTATTTCATCGAATTGTTTTTCTTTTCAGTATACAAGTCTCCAGAATATGAATCTCTCGGTTTTGAACTGACGGTTGAAAGATTGGTGTCTATCGGTTATCCTCAAGAGCTTCTAAGTTTTGTGTATGACCCAACATTCCCCACCAGGTAGGAAATTGTGCTTAATGCATTTCATGTATGGGCTGCTTTGTGAGATAATCTAACAATTAGGGATGCACCGACATATCGGCCGAAAATGACACTTTTGGCATGCCGAAAGTGCCATTTTCTGGCCGATACAGCGGTGCATCCGTTCGTTCTCTCCTTCCCGGTTGGCACTGCTCTGTGTCCCAGCAGGGAGGAAAGAAACTGTGACAGGCAGCCGAGCTCTGTGGGAGGAGAGCGCTGTGAGCGGCCAGCGTCTCTCCTCCCACACCGCTTAGCCTTCTGTCGCAGATCGGGAGAGTGGTGTGTGGGCGGAGACAGGCTGCGCTGTCACAGGAGGCTGAGCTCTCCTCTCTGCTCGCTCAGCCTCCTGTGACAGCGAGTCAGGATGGAGAGCGGGTACAAGCACTCAGTGATCGCTGAGTGTTTGTAAATAATTGAGGACAGAGTATGGTTACTATATCCTCAATTATGAATAAATGAATGAGAAGTGATCTACATCACCTCCTGTTCATTCATAATTGTGGTTATAGTAAACATACTCTGTCCTCAATTATTTACAAACATGTTATGAATGAACAGGAACACTCAGTATAGATGATTTCTGTTCATTTATAACAGGGGAAGCAGAAAAAGAGATAGAGGACTCTGTGTTCTCAATCTCTTTTGCTATTTTAAAAGGGAAATATCAGGGGTCTGTTTTAGACCTCCCAATATTTCCCCAAAGCCCCTAAAAGTAAAGTAAAAAATGAATAAATAAAGACATAAGTTTATAAAAAAATAAATTTAAAATAAAATATTTTAAAAGGTTAAAATAAAAAAACATTTTCGGTTTCGGCCTGACATTTTTTTTTTTTTTCAGGCCTCAGCGGGGAGGGCTTGCGATGATCGCAAGTACGATCTCCCTGTCCAAGATGGGCAGATCGCACGAGATTTTAATTACCATACAACGATGAAAGTCGTGTGATGGTTGTAAGGTATATTGCCAGCTTTAGGAAGAAGAAGTTCAGCAGCATTTTTTACTTGTGATCCCCTATTGGGATACATTTGTATCATTATTTAGGGAGAAGGGTGTTGAACTGTGTGGATAATTGCAGCTTGAAGAGTAAAGCAGGAGATATATGTTGGGCATATAATAAGGATTATGATTTTTAACAGGAGTTCTACTTTCATATATCTTTCTCGCCATACTGGTGTTTTAATGATCTGTACCATTGAAGCTTCACATTTTCTTTGCTAGTAATAATTGCATCTTAAGGATATGTGCTTCAACTTTTATGTTTTGTTCCCCCAGGGGTTTGGTGTTTGATTCAACCTATGGAAATCTTTTGAAAGTTGATGCCTATGGAAATATCCTTGTTTGTGCACATGGGTTTAACTTCATGAGAGTGTAAGTGCTAACATATTTTGCTTGTGATGAAACAAACAAATCCTTCTATGTTTGTTGTTTGTTATATTGGCCCCTGTCTAAATCAGCCCTGTATGTGTGTGTATGTATGCAGGTGAGATGGGGACCTTAGATTGCAAGCTTCTTGAGTGTAGGGACTGATGTGAATGTGCAACTATGTAAAGCACTGCGTAAATTGTCAGCGCTATATAAATACCTGTAATAAATAATGATGAGAAACAATAAGCAACTGAGTGTGATCACATAAATCACATCTAAAACAGAATTTCCATTTCTTTGATGACTTGGAAAGCTGTAAATCCTTCTCAAGGATCATCATGAGCACTATTACACATGACAATCTGTCTAGGGGACGTCTTTCTTTGCCAATCTAGACATGCCCTTATACCGTGTTGCCTGCATAGGACACTAATACCGCTGGGTTCACACCTAGGTGTATCGAATATGCGCATTTCGTGCGTGCGGTTTTACCGCGATTCGCCGTAAAAAACGCGCGACAAACGCGCTTTTCCAAGGGCTACTTGGCTGTATCCCAATGGAAACGCGCAACAAAAACGCCCAAAAGAAGCTCCTGTACTTCTTTGGGCGTAGGGCGTTTTGTAGCGCGTTCATACGGCCTGTAATATGCCCAGGTGTGAACCATACCCATAGGAAATAATGGGATTTCGGTGTTTGAGCGTTTTGCAGAGCGTTCGAACGCGCTACAAAACGCCCAAGTGTGAACCAGGCCTAAATGTAACTAATATATTCCTACATCATTTCTGCGCTTCCATCAATGCAGACAATACATAGTAAAACCTGCCACTAACACCTGTTCTGAATTGCAGCATTAATAGCCAGTGTTGGTAGAGGAGGAAACAATATGAGCTTTCATTGGAAAGGTCGTGTAGAGCCATGAAGATTCAGTAATGTAAAAACACGCTCTAGTGAAGCAAACAGATGTTCCCTTTGATGTGAAATCAAGCTTTGTGTCTGCTAAAGTGATCCTTTGTTTGCAGACAATGCCTCTCCCTATTTACCTACCAGGTCTTTGTTTGCTTGCTGCATAGGGTCCTACATCAGAATTAAATTTGCTGTATCAGTATCACACACAGACCTATGTTTTTACATGATAATCTTATTACTAAGCAGTTTTCTAGCAGTCGTGGGACGTTGTATATTGCCATAATGCATTGCTTCATATAAAGCTGAATGACTGACTGAATTACAAGTGTGCAAGTATCTAGGTAAACCAGTCTGTGTGTTTTTCTATAAAGCAACCAGTCTGCAAATACAATAATTCATTGTGTTAGAAATCTGCGGCTCTTTATTTTGTAATCATCTTCATTTACAAGTCTGGGTTTTATATGTAGAACTCTGCCAGATTGGTTTGTTCTGGCTCCACACCCAGAACAGGAAATCAATAATTGATAATGAAATCATCTTTTTGATTTTGGTATACAGAGTGATAGTGTTACTTACAGTAAACAAAATGTATCTCGATGAACGTGCTTTTAACCACTTGCTGTCCGGACCAATTTCTTACTATTTGCGCGCACATGATAAAATATACATTTTTGGGCTAGAAAACAGCTTGAGACCCCCAAACAATTATATATTTTCTGAAAGCAGAGGCCCTGTAGAATAAAAAAAAAATGCTAGTTGCAATTTTTTATGTCGCACGGTATTTGCGAAAATTTGTATAAAACCAATATTTTGAGGATAAATAAACTAAATTTCAAATTTAGTGCACAGAAACAGAATATAATACCCAATTTTTGGTAAAATATAAAAGACGGGGTCACGCCGGGTAACTAGATACCAAACATGTCAAGCCTTAAAATTGCGTTCGCCCGTGAAGCCGCAAAAAAGTCAATACCCAAAATTTCCCATAGGGAACATTTTAAACGCTTTTACCGCGCATCAGTTTAGTGCTAACAGTGATTGACGGCGCTAGAATTATTGCTCTCACTCCGATGTTCGCGCAATTGTCGTTTTCGCATGTAGGTGCACATACGTGTGTATGTGCGTGCACATTGGGGGGGCGGGGGACTAACAAGCCCCCTATGTAATAGCAGATAGGGTGTGACAGGTCCTCTTTATAGAGACATCGGGGGTCTTTCAGACCCCTAATGTCACCTAGGGACCCCAAAGAAGCTGAGGAAGCAAAGATCTTCTTCTCCTGGCTCTAAGAGCCGGAGTGGCGGCTGTATAGACGCCGGATCGCTTGTACATTAACACCCATCGCTGGCTGTTAAAAACGATACCAAGAACTCGGCTGATGCAGCAGCCGTTTTCTTGTTGTAATCACTTCTACGGGCCGCCGTCTATAGACGTATTGCGGCCTAGAAGTGGTTAAAGCATCTCTTCCTATGAGGCTGAATTGTATTAAAGTGATTGTAACTCTATCAATGATTTTCCCTTATTCTCTCCCTTTTGGTCTGTTTAATATACCATTGGAAGTGTTTAGCTGCATCTTTTTGATAAGTTCAAGAAAATCCTGTTAATCTTGTCAGAAATTCAGAGCAGTCCTGAGTCCTCTCCACATTTTCTGTGTTATCTCTAAGAGCCCTCCTAGTTCTTATCTTGGACCACAGAATCCTTTATGTTGTTGAAATCTGAAATTGGGAGTGGTGGAATAGTTTAGCAAAAAACACAGGGAGGGCTGACAAAAATGCTGCGTGTTGTTATCCTACAACATGACTTAGGAGCTGTGTTTCTGGCAGATCCAGAGTCTTTTTTTCTGCCCTTGCAGGGTCTTTTATGTGAGAACAACACAGAGAAATGTGCATGCGTTCCAGATATACAGTTGTGCTCAAAGGTTTGCATACCCTTGGTAAAATATGTACCATTTTTAAAGAAAACATGAGTGAGCAGGCAAAACACATTTCTTTTGTTTCTTATGGGATTCATATTCCACTGTAGGTCATAACGGAATGGCGCAATCATAAAACAAAACATGGCAACAAATAAAAAAAAAATGAAATGACCACTGTTCAAAAGTCTACATACCCTTCGTTCTTAATACTGTGTATTGCCCCCTTTAGCATCAGTGACAGTGTGCTATCTTTTGTGATGGTTGTCTATGAGGCTCCGAATTCTTGCAGGTGGTATAGCTGCCCATTCGTCTTGACAAAATGCCTCTTGGTCATGCAAAGTCATCTTGCCATCAATTTTCACAAGATTTCCCGTGCCGTTAGAGCTTACACCCGCCTCCCCCCAAAAAACCCCCATCAGTGAGCCACCGCCATTCTTCACAGTGGGGATAGTATTCTTGTCGCTATAGGCCTTGTTGACACCTCTCCAAACATAGCGCTTATAGTTGTGACCATAAAGCTCTATTTTGGTCTCGTCATTCCAAATTACAGTGAGGCGTGTCAAGGTGTTGTCGGGTATATTGTAACCAGGCTTTTTTGTGGCATTGGGGCAGTAAAGGCTCCTTTCTGGCAACTCGACCATGCAGCTCATTTTTGTTCAAATATCATTGCATTGTGCTCTTTTAAGAGCAGCCTGTATTTCTCCTGAGGTTACCTGTGGGGTTTTCTGTGTATCTTGAACAGTTCTTCTGGCAGTTGTGGCTGCAATCTTTCTTGGCCTACCTGACCTTGGCTTGGTATCGAGAGATCCCCGAATTGTCCACTTCTTAATAAGTGATTGAACAGCACTGACTGGCATTTTCAAGGCTTTCGATATCTTTTTATATCCTTAATCCTTATCCTTAATGTTCCCTATGGGAAATTTGGGGTATTTATTTTTTTTGCAGCTTCACAGGCGAACGCAATTTTAAGGCTTGAAATGTTTGGTATCTATTTACCTGGCGTGACCCCGTCTTTTATATTTTGCCAAAAATTGGGTATTATATTCTGTTTCTGTGCACTAAATTTTAATTTAGTTTATTTTTTCCTAAAAATACTGGTTCGATAAACATTTGCGCAAAAACCGTGCGGCATAAAAATTTGCAACTAGCAGGGCCTCTGTTTTTAGAACATATACCATTGTTTGGGGGTCTGAAGCTGTTTGCTAGCCAAAAAAGTATAATTTTTTAATGTGTGTGCAAATAGTAAGAAAATGCCCCGGGCAGCAAGTGGTTAAAGAGAACCAGTCACAATTAGGCTTTTGCAAAAATGCACGCAGAGTCTTAAATTATAACAGCTGTGATGGCCTACTTGTAAAAGATTTATGTTTTCTCCTTTTGTAGCTAAATTTAGGTTATCTGAGCATGACTTTTAAAACTGGGGACTGAGAGACCGCCTGAGGTTTTGCACTCCTTTTTATATTGCTTCCCTTTCTGTTAGCTGAGGCATACACTCGCCCAGCTTTTGCGTGTATGGATGGCATTAAATAACAGCTCCTCATAGTTAAAACCCAATTGAACTTTTAGTTTATAGCAGCTAAATACATTCCAGGGGGAATAAAAGGTAAGCAAAGTCTTACAGTTCATTTTCTTTTGTAGAAAAGCCTGTTCCCTGCCAGCATGCTGGAGAAAATGGCCCTGTGAAAATGAACTTGTGTGGAAGCAGCAGTCTCTCTGCAGAGATCTGATATGCCTCCCTCCTGAGTCAGACCTAGCACATGCTCCCTGCTGATTGGAGAGCTCAAACTCTGAATCTCTCTGAGGGTGTGTCAGAGCTCTGCAGATAGACCACTGCTTCCACACAGAGCAAGACAGGACAGGGTTTCCTACTAAAAAGGAATTGTAAGACTTTGCACACCTTTTGTTTTGATGGACCTGGAATGTATTCAGCTGGATTCAACTAAAAGTTTAGTTGGGCTTTAAAATCCATTTCTAGGACTTACCCTATTTTGTCCCGAAAATTTCTTCTAGGACATGTCCAAGCATTCATTTTTCTTTTTCCTTGTTTCTGTAATGGGAAACAGCTTTTATTACTCCCTGGGACATCATTACAAGGCTGGTAAAAATGTTTGGTCTGTGGGCAGGCTTTTGGAAGTCAATGCAGCAGCATTGTTTTGTCGGGAAATAAATCAATGTATGCATGTGGCGTGGGACACACAGAGTTGGGGGTTAGGTGAAGTTCTGACAACACTGATCGGGATTTCAGTGCAGAAAATGCACTATGTTGTCATTGCTGGCAAAACACCAGGTACATGTAGTTTTTTTAAAGGCATCAGATGTGGATAAATGTGCATGTATTGCAGAGATGTACTAAATATGTTTTTTGCCCTGACAAACTTTAAGAGGAACAACTATAGAGATGTACCAGCTTAAACATGCATTCATGCTGGGCCTCTCCATGTAAATGCACAACCTCCTCAATTTCCCACATCAGGTCTGTTTTGAGCCACTCTAACACTGTGCGACAACCTTTTGTCACTTCCGTGTTCTGGATTGTGCTAAATAGACCCAAAGCTATTATTAATTTTTTTGGTTTAATGGCCTACAGACTTCTAAGGGTACTCTAGTGGTGAGGAAATCCCGGCATTAGTTTGTGCCCATTCCACAATGCTATAATGGATGTATTATTCTTCTACAGGTGCACTTTTTAAATTTGTACTTATGGAGAATCCAGTAGTAGAGCCAACAACATCTCATACAACTACAAGTCCATGTGGCTTTGTAATGGCTATGGCACTTGGGCAGAGCTGGAAATGTTGGTGGACTTTACTCACCTTGGAAATCCTTAGAGATATTCGAATACAGCATGACATGATGCTTGGAAGCAACAATGCAAAGCTGACGTATCAGTTTTGGGTGTAGCTGACCTTTGCGCTGCCTGATTATTGCTAGTAAAGCGTGTACTGATGACAGCATCAGAGACCATTCTTACTGTGTTTAACTACTTAATGTCTGGAAGGTAACCAGTCACATTTGCAGTCACTGCCCTATATGCTCTGAGTGGTTTGTTATTGTTAGCTGTATATTTTGTTGTGTTCCTTATAAAGAACAATGTATTGCTTGTATCTGTTCCGAATGGAAGTGTGATAGCACTGTGAGAATACATGTGATAATTCCCAATGGCTGATTTCACTGTTTCCATGGAGTACAGCTAGCAGCAGAATGTGCTAAACTTTATAGCAGGTGGAATTGTTAATAAAGAAACGTTCTGCTTTTTTTTCCACAGACCTGAAACTAGGGAACAGTACCCAAATAAATTTATCCAGAGAGATGATACAGATCGCTTCTACATCCTCAACACCCTGTTCAATTTACCAGGTAAAGAACATGGCATAGTTTTAAAGTTCAACTTCACTAACAATCTAAACAAAAACAAATAGAGGTCCCAAATTCTTCCCTCACATCAGTGCTGCACATCCCCCTCCATTCCTGGCCACCACCTGTCTTCTGGATAGTGGGATCAAATGTGGGCTCATGATGCACATCATGAAGCCACCTTGGGCTCAAAGGAAAATGATGCATTGATGAGAATGGCATCCATGTCTTCACATGACATGACATCATGTTCCTCCATTCTCTGCATCATTGAGGATCGCACACTGCTGCTGCAAGAAGAAGACAACCCCAGGACATCACCTGACTAGATCAAAAACAACTCCAGAATATGAATATGCACACACACACCACTGTGCAAAGGTTTTAGGAAGGTGTGAATGAATGTTGTAAAATAAGAATGTTTTTAGAAATAAAAGTGTTAATAGTTTATTTTTTTATCAATTAACAAAATGGGAAGCAAATGAACAGAACATAAATTAAAATCAATATTTGGTGTGACCTCCCTTTGCCCAAAACAGCATCAATTCTTCTAGGTACACTTGCACACAGGTTTTGAAGGATCTTGGCAGGTATGTTGTTCCAAACATCTTGGAGAACTAACCCCAGATCTTCTCTGGATTTAGGCTGGCTCAAATCCTTCTTTCTCTATGTAATCCCAGACAGACTCGATGATGTTGAGATCAGGGCTCTATGCGGGCCAAACCATGACTTCCAGGACTCCTTGTTCTTTTTAACACTGAAGGAAGTTCTTAATGACATTGGCTGTATGTTTGGGGTCGTTGTCCTGCTGCAGAATACATTTGTGGCCAATCACACGCCTCCCTGATGGTAAGGCATGATGGATAAGTATCTGCTTCTATTTCTCAGCATTGAGGACACCATTGATCCTGACCAAATCTCTAACTCTATTGGCAGAATTGCAGCCCCAGACTTGCAAGGAACCTCCACCATGCTTTACTGTTGCCTGCAGACACATTATTGTACAGCTCTTCAGCGAACAAACTGCCTCCTGCTACAGCCAAATATTTCAAATGTTGACCATCAGTCCAGAGTACCTGCTGCCATTTTTCTGCTACTTCTGTTGTAATGCATAGTTGAGTCGCTTAGCTAACCCTGTTTACCGTTGGAGGTTGGGGCTTGGCCAATCGCACTGCAGACGAGATGCGTTGGTTTGCCAATAAAATGAATGGCACGTAATGCACTGTAATCACATGAGAGGTGCGTTGTGCGTTACCATGCAGTTAACACACTGAGTTGATGTGAATGGGCCTACAGACATAAGATAATGTTTGCGTGAACTGGTATTTAATAGTCAGAGTGGACAGCAATCACTTGTCAATATACACTACCCAGACATCCCCTGTCTGAACCTTCATGGGGGAAGAATTAAACTGCATTGCTCAGTTGGAATTTCTTAACTGATACCAGGACTGCTCAGTGCTTCCGCTCCTTACTCCGTAGGCATAAACATGCCTCCTTGGCTGATCCAAATGTGCATGTTTATGGAAAGAACTTTATTAGACTTTGCGTACTGATTTTCTTTTGTCTTCCTGATTTTTGCTCTAAAAAGTGTTATTTAAAAAAAAAAAAAGTTAATACTGGGTCTTTCCAAAATAGGCCACCATTAAAGATTTCTTCTGTGCTAATTTATGGGTACATGTGTTACATATTGAACTGAATCAGAGGCCCATTTATTTTCTAAAAATTAGAAAATAATTCCAGTGAAGTACAGTGTAAGTAACAATATAGCGTTTTAAGGGCTACTGAGTAGAATACGACTTAATTACACAGGCTTGTACTCGATTTTGATGGATTAGGCAAGATTCACTTTTATCTCTTACATCTTATTCCTCCACATGACGTAACAAAATCTTGTTCTTGCTGCTGCAATCTGTCAGTTTTCGGGTAAACAGGAGGTTATGTAATATGTATCATGTGACCCACTTACGGATTTCCAACTTTTCTTCTTGGCACAAAGAAGCAACACACAATACTGTTTGTATCAAATGTTATAAAGACTATTTATAAAACAAATTCTGATTATACCTTAGCACAAGAATACATTGGTTGAAACACCTACAGTATAAAATACAGACCTAAACGGTAGTTCAATGCAAAGTGATAATTCAGTTTTAGAACATAAAGATCATTTACGGACAGAAGTGTTGAAGGACATTTATAGCATAGAAGTCCCTGAGAGAGAAATGAAAAATGTAGTTGATTCAGCTGACCAGGATTTATATAGTGCCAACAGTTTTTGCACGGCGCTTTACAACATAAAGGGAGACAGTACAGTTGCTGTACAGACCATTATGAGAGGATTAGGGGGGCCCTGCTTGTGGAGCTTACAATCTAAAGTAACTGATTTTTTGGGTGGTGGTGTAAATTTCCTAAAGCTCTCTCTTCTCTCTCTCTCCTAACTCCTAACCAGTGAAGTCTTTCATGGCCGGTCAACCTGTGTCTGTCAAGTGATTCATGATAGTAATGTTTTTTTATTGTTATAGACAAACCGTTTATAAGTTGTTATGTGGTATTCCTCCATAGTTTACCGCAATGCTTTTGTCTATTTCAGAAACTTACTTGCTGGCCTGCCTGGTAGATTTCTTCACTAACTGCGACCGATACACAAGGTAAGGGCTTATTTTATCAATTCGTGTCCTCACATATTGTAGCAGTCTTGTATACCATTGCGATTAGTTGTCAGTAGAGATGATATGCCTTTCAAGACAATAGGCTCACTTCACAGAACTTTAACACAAGGATAAAGCTGACCATACACCACTAAAATTTTGTTCGAACGAAATATGTTTGCAGGATGTTTGTTCGATTTTCTAATAGTTAATGGGGTCAAATTGACAATTGTTTTTTGAACGAACAAAATTTCAACAGTGAATGTGGATTAAGTTCCGGAAACTCCATTCACTTCCAAAATTGAGTGTTGAAAGCAAACAAAATTTTGCACAACTTTCTACAAGTCTGATGGCATTATCAAATGTTCTGGAGAGATTTGTTTGTATAGTCATATGAAAATCTAGCTTCTCATTGTCACAGATCGGCTAGAACTATGAGGTGAGTGAAAAACACTCACCTCATAGTTCTCCTTTAAGGATCTTTAGTTTAGCAGTGTGACTTTCATTTTCAAGTCTCATTGGACATTGTCAATCGGGTATATGGAGTAGATGTCTTCCCTGTTGTTTCTTCAGGTTCGCAGGTTATGTTTCTCTGTAAAATGTGCAGTGCAGGCTGAGTGTAACCAGCATAGTGTTTGTAATGGTTTGGGTCAATGATGACAGCTCTAAAAGCATTGGAAAATTGCAGTACAGTTTTTCCTCTTTTGCAGCCAAATTGGGATAACATCTACTTTATATTTGTTCCCATTCACCTTGCATGATTTAAAAAAGTTCACATCACTTCAGAAGCTCCCGTTACACTGAGTCCTCAGTCACCCCCTTGCTTCAGTGTCCTACTGTGACATAAGGAGCCGCAGAGGCGGGAGGCCGAGCAGGCCTGGACAAAGGTGAACTTTCATCCTTTTGTTCCCACCTTCACTCGAATAGCATCATTTGTTCCCCATGGTACTGGCAGCTGGCCCACCAGCACCATGGAAAAGCATGAGACTGTGCAAACATTTCAAGGCACCCTGGTTGAGAAAGGCTGTCCTAACCAATAGAAGTTTGCCTGTAGAGGTATGCAGTGTGAATGGGAGCACATAACAAATATGTAGTGGGAGGATTCTCAAATGTGACTGCACAAGTGGAAATACACTGTATACTTGATATGTATCTTAGGTTTTTGTTTACAGATGCGCAGGTTTGTACAGTTTTCCTCTGTTATTATTCATGTGGCATGTATAGTGCATTATACATTTTGATTGTTATTCGTTCAAGTGTCCTATCAATGAGAAATTTAATTCAAAGACTATTTGTAAAGTTCTGGGGTTAAATCTGCTAGAGGTGAAGCTCATTGGTTTTTAGGGCTACAGCTCATCATACTCATTACAATATTTGTGCAATCTCCTTTAAATTTATCAAAAGTATGTAGTATGAGAAACTACCTAATCTATCCAGTCAATTTGTATCCAGTCAGGCAGGCGCTTGCACTATATAGTTTTTGGTAGATCTAAAACAGATTGTATAGTCAAATTGTAACATGTGATAAGGTTTAGCATGTGCAGCCCGAGAGGAAAAATATTGAGGAATGCTGGTATAGGCAGATATCATTTTTGGATGGATATGGTGGTGGGAGTGTGGAATTGGCAACTTCATTTTTACCCAGATTATATGTAGTCCAGGTATAAAGATACCAGCTATGGGGTCCAGGTTTGCAGATCATTACAGATCTGTAGGTTTGAATTCTCAGGGACCTGTTAGGATAAATGGGAACCTAACCTTCTACCTATGCTTATACAGGTGAAACTCAAATAATTAGAATATCGTGCAAAAGTAATGGAGGTAAGTGCTGCAAAAGGGGCCCAAACCAAGTACTCTCATATATTAGTTTCACCTTTTAAGTTGCATTAGTGAAATAAATGAACTTTGCACGATATTCTAATTATTCGATTTTCACCTGTATTTAGGGATGCACCGATATAGCGGCCGAAAATTGCACTTTTGGCTAAATGCCGAAAGTGCAATTTTTCTGCCGATACACCGACACTTCCCTGGTTTCTCTCCTCCACGCTGGGCGCTGCTCTGTGTCCCAGCGGGGAGGAGAGAAACTGTGACAGCCGGCCGAGTGCTGCGGGAGGAGCGATGGGTGTGCGGAGACAGTACGCGCTGTCACAGGAGGCTGAGCTCGCCTCCTGTGACAGCTGTCAGAAAGGAGAGCCAATGCAAACACTCAGTGATGGTAACTATAGCCTAAATTATGAATGAATGGGAAGTGATCTACATCACCTTGTTCATTCAGGATTGTGGTTATAGTAAACATACAATCTCCAAGTTATGCATGAACAGGAACACTCAGTATAGATTCCTGTTCATTGATAACAGGGGCTGCAGAAAAAGAGTCCCGACATTTTTTTTTATTCGGTTTTGAAATTTCCATTTCGGTGCACCTCTACTTATATTATAATTATTCTTTATTGATACTGCAGCTGTGAAAAGGGGTTTAAAGATGGAGATCTGTTCATGTCATTCCGGAGCATGTTCCAGGATGTCAGAGATGCTGTTGATTGGGTTCATTACAAGGTAATATTGGCTTGCTCACGTAAAAAAAGAAAACCCTGATTGTTCTTTCTTCTGTTAGTTCGGTTACACGATGGCGCCACCATATTTTTATCACAAGTCTTTAATGCGTATCCATTAAACTGAGCTGGTGGCGGCGCAGAATTGTAAAGCCTTTACTATTTACAGCACCATGACCTCAATCCCAGGAAAATTGCTTTAACTGGGGGGGGACACCCGATCGGCACCCCATACATGCGATCGGCCGGCTCTACAGCCGGCGGATCGCATGTATATTAACGGGCATCGCTGCCCGTTTTTAAATTCCGGCCATTTCCCGCTCGCGCGCGCAAGGGGGCGTGTCTGAGTGGACGTCTAGAGACGCCCGCTTAGATCTAGAGAGCTCCTGGCCGGCCGTTTTTTTACTACGGCCGGCCCGGAGGTAGTTAAAGCTAAAAAATCTCTGCAAATGTGCATAGATTCAGATGAAACTACGGGATCTAGTTGTGCGTCATTGTCTTAACATGACTTTGTGGTTTCTAGGTTAACCATGATAACTTTTCTGTTATCTTAAAAAAACATTTAAAGATGAACTCCAGCCATATCTTTAGTTTTGTACAATTGTACAGGTTCCTCTCCTGTACTGAAATTGCTTACTCTGATTTCACTTCTCACAATGTGCTTTAGAAGCTGCAGTAAGTCCAGTAGAGCCCACCTCATTTCCTGGCTGTATGACATCCCGCTTCACCTAGCACTTTCCTCCCCAGCCTGACTGTCCCTGGGGCGCCCCCTTCATTCATTGGACATCAGTTTTTTCGGCCTTGGAAGCTCAGTATCACATGTGAGTGTTACCTATGGCAGTCTGCATGCAAATAAAGAACTGCCTCAGAATGCCCACTACTCCAGACTGAACTCCACCAATCCAAGCATTTTGATATTTGCATAACTCCTCCCAAGTGCCAGCCCACTGCTTGTATCAGGGACTGAGGGTTTTTGAGAGGAGTACTGAGGCATATTTTTCCTTTTCCTTGATCTTTCTCCCTCTCCCATGAACATACTAATAAAAGTTTTACATAAAACCTTTCTATTTTCATTACATACCTTATTGTATTCTCAGGGATGTCATCATGGCTGGTGGAAGGGTCCAGCAGGGTGCTGTACACAGCTTCCTAAAAACATCTTTTGTAACACTCTTATTGGCATGTTGAGGGGGGTGGGGTGGAGAGATCAAAAAAATATGAGCAGATTTGTCAAAATTAGGTTGAAATGTATGATTCTTTGATTACCATGGACTTCTGAAGTAACTGTACTCCAGTATATCTCTGCTAAACCCTAAAAGCAATGGAGTTAATGTAAACAGTCCAAAAGTGAAGGGAGCGCTAAGCAATATGGCACATTGCTGTGCTTTGTATATGTACTGTTTTGTTTTTTATTAAATGAAGCTGCCATATGACCACCAATACTGCTGCTTTATCACTTGATCCCTAAGTTTATACTCTTCTATAATTCTGAAACTGCTTTTGTTATGGTGTGGTTATACATAATCTGTATTCATCTAGCATCCAGTTGAATGTAGAGCAGATTTAGCTGTGTTTTTACAGTCTATCTGTGACGCAGGGTTAACTTTTTTTTGTTTTTCTAACCTTTTGCATTGAATGTCTGGCTGGCAGAACACTTCATTTCTGTGTCTTTCATTTTCAGGGAACACTTAAGGAGAAGACCGCAGAGAATTTTCCAAAGTTTGTTGTGAAAGATGTAAGTATGTTTTTCTGGGCCCTGAAATCAAATAAATATAGTGATGCGCTCAAGAAACGGTAACAAATGTATTTTGTTTTTTTCCTTTCATTTATTATTATTGGGAAAGACTACATAGGTGGATTTTATTTGTGGCTTCTATCCTTTTTTTCTTTTTTACTCTTGCCATAGAACATATTGAGATTATCCACCCTTAAAGAGCCATGCAGCCACACATACACTTAAAAAAGGGTTAAATAATTACATTAAAACCTTGCATGGAAGCACATGAAGGCAGCAGTAACTTTCAAGTTATTGCCACAGATAGAGCAGGTCTTATGGGCTGCCATTTCGGAGTGTTCTCTGGGGTCACATTTTTTTGTTGCATCCCTCAAATGTTATATACATGCAAGAAGAAACTTTGAGGGTCTACTGGCACATCTCTAAAGATGTTTAAACCTCTCCTCTCCCCATTCTTGTTCAGAATCTGTTTCCTTTAACCCAACGCCTAGTTGAAGCTGCCTAGACTAAACATGCTCTAGTCAAGGGGATGTGTTCTCCCAAACATAGCAGTGATTTATTTAACTCCGAATTTCAAAGTTAGAGCCTCTTTTCATAAAGTTGGAGTGAAATATAAAAATAAACGGCAGAGAGGTACACTTTTTTTTTTGTTTTTTTTTGTTTTTTTTTAGCACTTTTTTGAATACCGCTACAGAAAACATACACGGGTGTCCAGTGTGCCTCTGATTGGGCTGTGACTGGGTGAGAGTGGCTTTGTACCATGTGATCACTGTGAACCAATCACACCCATCAAAATTGTAAACACTACTAGTTTTTAAAAAAACAACAGGATGGAAGGTGAAGATATGGGGGTGGTGTTAGGGTACCATTGACCAAATAATTGTGGGATCATTTTATTTAATTGTGGTGGTGGGTTTTAAGGTGCAACTGGGGGGGCGGGCTGACGGAAGTGCTACTGACCACCAGTGATTGTGGGATTTATTTAAAGGTAAATGAAAGCAATCTTAAATATGGTGGTTATTAAATACCACCTAAAGATAGGTCTATCAGTCTAAAAAAATAATCTAGAGCGTGACCGAGTTATTGGCATGGGCACATTCACTTAGCCATTACTGCTTGTGTTGAGCTATTAAAACTTAAAAACATCAGCTGGAAGGGAATATGGTGTCCGAAAAGGTGTTACCAAAAAACTAATTGGCTGCTCAGTAAAACCTAAACACAAAGAAGGTGTTAGCAGGAGCTGCTTTTTAATACCCACCAGTACTACCTGAGTGCACAGATTATGAAATACGTTAGAAGGAAAGGGGAATATGCATGATGGGACCCCTTCTTCTGTACCCTTTGTTTCACAATGTTGTTTGAAACTTTGCAGCTTTGATTCTGACCCCATAGCAAATTACAATACAAATCTAAACTTCCAACGACAGCAGGGATTCAACTTTTTCATTTGGCACTGGACAGATTTCCGTAAACTGAAATCTGATTGGTTGATGTGGGTTATATACTTTGCATTTTCCAGGTTGTTTTGGGTTGCTGCAGTTGGCAGATTCGTATTGATTTTTGTATTGCTTGACTGAAAATGACTGAATGTTTTTGTTGTGGAGATTTTTACATCTAGAACTTCCTTTTCAGTCAAAACTGCCTCTCCTGCTGAGTCGTATGAATGAAGTGGGGAAGGTTTTTCTCGTCACCAACAGCGACTATAAATATACTCACGTAAGTACCAATTAAATATTCACATCACTGTAGGTTGCCAGGGTGCTGGAGAGAGTGCATGCTCCTCTGAGATGAATGTGGCAACATCCTCCTATGTTCTGTAACCCCTTCCTATCTAGGAGTGGTAGACGTAGGCCCTGATTAGGTGTGTATTCAAACTACTTTAGGGGGTAGACTGGGGGGTGATAACGTCTGCGGTCATAATGTATCAGCTGAGAGCTGGCCATATCACCATCTAAACAATAAGTGCCATTTTGCATTGTTTACCTGATATGAGTATTTTGCTTAAATGCTGTTTTGTCTCAGAAGTCTCAAGGATGCATTATTTTACTTTGGCTGAGTGTAGTGGTATGTGTCCACTGCCAAGCTGGATACAGCCTATAAAGGTCCTATTCACACCACTGCGTCGCAGTAACATGGTGTGCTTTGGTGCCATCTATTGTGAATTCCACCCCAGCGCACCTCCAAAAGGCATCACACTGCTGCACAACAAATGGTGTTCTGTACATTGTGCTGCGATATATTGCACCCTGCCCGAGTTTCACTTGATGTGCATTTCAGCCCATTCACTTTGAATGGGCTGCTTAACGTACTGCAATCAAACGCTTGCAAACGCACGATGACACGTGCCTTAAAGCACAAAGCATTGTGGCGTGAAGGGATACTAAGAGCAATTTCAGGCTGTGGAGGGACTGACTATAACATCCTTATTTAAGATTAGTGATCAGGAACATTAATGTGTTGCAAAATTACTCTCCCGATAAGCAAAGATTGACCTTAGCAGAAACTTGTCATGAGGCAAGACATATATGCTGTCATTACAGAACTCCTAAAAATGCTACTTGTCTTGCTGTCAAGCTGACCCTCATGTTTCAGTGCTTTAAGTCAAGGTCCTGGAACAAGTATGTAGAGAGGGACTTCCAACTTTACTGATCTGCCTACTTCTAAGTCCAGGCAGTGAAAGTATAAAAGTTATAGAATCAGCATAACTGCCACCTAAAGCAGGAGTAAAAAAAATGCAGCATTGTTTTTGCCATATTGTGGCAGCACGTGCAGCAAAATATCTTTAAAACACTTCATCCTCATATTGTCTTTTCTGCTGGTCTGGGGAAAGGTTCATGTTGATGTGGCATCTAAAGCAGAGTGTTGTGTAAACAGCATTGGTGTATATAACAGGGCTGCAGGAGTGAGAGGTCACCAGCGCTTTTTTGCTTATATAAATTGTCTCCAAAAACATTAAAAAAAAGTTACGGAATAGGTTTAAACTTACCTGTGTCTCCGCCTCTCGCTCTCGTCCGAAGATTCCCGGGCGGCCGCAAAGGTTCATGGGGTGGGCGCATGCGCAGTTTAGATCTTCGGGCGGGAGACGAGGAGAGACACAAGGTAAGTCAATGCAGACAGCCCGGCAGCGTGCACCCGCACAGACACCGTGGGACACGGAAGACACAGCAGTCAGTGCTGGATCAGAGACCGGCACCAGTGCTGGAGGGACTCCTGGAAACTACTTGAAAGAAGAAGATGATCGGATCAAAAGGCATCATTTAAGGTAAGTCCCTACACTAGCATAGGGGGAGAAAAAATAATGTGATTTTAATGTCACTTTAAACTCAACATTCACTTTCCATACACGTCTGTGGATTTTAACTGGAGCTTTTTTCAGTCCACTTCAGCCTCCCTCTCGTCTCAACTACATAACATGGGGGGTTCTATAGTCACAGACTGAATTGAGAGGGTTGTTAACATTGTTTAGGATGTCACTGCAGCAATGGCAGAATGTTACAAGCTCACCAGACTCCTGGAATGATTTACAGCAGGGGTAGGCAACCTTGGCACTGCAGCTGTGGTGAACCTACAAGTCCCATGAGGCATTGTAGGACTATGACAGCCCCAGACATGACTCTTGGGCAGAGGCATGATGGCATTTGTAGTATCGCCACAGATGGATTGCCGAGGTTGCCTACTGATTTACAGTTTTTGATAAACAGATATGACGAAATGTTTGTAATGGTTTATTTACCAGACATAAAGGGAGGCACTGTTTGCCTTTACATAGACTTTAGAGTTGATTTATTGGTTTGCGTCATCAAACTTGGGCTTAAAATATCTATATCTAAAATATCTAAGTCTTTGACTGGTGAAAACAGCACATATCCACTTATGTGTACATTAAAATTCACTTTTCATTTATTTTGCAGAAAATCATGACTTATCTGTTTGACTTCTCTCATGGACCAAAGGTATAGTATTGCCATGAATTTAGAATCGGTTTAGAATGTAGAGCAGAATGTTTGGAGTTTAATTTATACCCTTTAAACTATATTTGCATTTTTGCAGTCAAATTTGAGAAAACCCCTCTCTATGTTTGTTATGTGTTCCCATTCACACAGCATACAAAATACTTTTTAGATTGTTTGATGCAGCAGGTAACATGGGCGATTGCAGATTTGTTCTGAGCGACTTCACAGTGATCTGTTCTTATAGAAAGACTTAGGTCTGAAATTTGAGGATTGCGTTTCTCTTATTAACTTCATTAACTTGCAATGCAAACTCCTCACCCATCACCGCCCCTCCTAACATTACAAAGAAAGAGAAACCAACAGAACACGAGAGCAAGACTTGTTAATTATACTAGTACTTCATGCCTCTGGTTGTCACCTTTTTAGGCAGAATAATTCCGTAACAAATCTAGTAAAGCAGCCGAAACAAAGATAACATTAATCACTACAACACGGAAGATACATTTTCAAGCACAAAACATTGAACATACTGTACTACTGGATCCTAGGCATAGAGGGGTGGTGAAGAGTCAGTAATAACTCCAGGCACACCTTACTTCCATGCTTTAGGATTATCCTGGAGTTCGTTATAAGAAGATTGCTGCACCTCCACCAACTTTTTCCTTCAGCTGAATTTATAGAAGTATCTTTGAGACATTTTGCTGGTCATTAGCGCTTTATATTTGAGGTGTTTGGTTTCTTGTTTTTCAGCCCGGGACCCCACATCGGCTTTGGCAGTCTTATTTTGACTTAATATTAGTGGATGCGCGCAAACCACTATTTTTTGGGGAAGGAACTGTGCTCAGACAAGTGGATACTGTAAGTGCTATTTCTGTTTCTCACGTTGTATAGAACACTATGGCTAAACTACATGGGTCACGTAGTGATGGGTCACGGTCACCTGGGCAAGTGTTGTACACATTAAGGGTCTGTTTACATCAGGTTCCTTAAGCAGCCTTGCCCAGAGCAGTCCCAACACATTGACAAGGCAATTGGATTTGTTTCATGTCAGTTCACACCACCATGTTCTGGTGGTGTGCATAGAAACAAAGTATGACATGCAGTACTTTTTTTCACCACAGCATGTTGTGACACAATACACTGCATGGCAGCACAGTGCAGTAAATAGAACAAATTGAATTGTCACTTTGTAATCTTTCAATAAAGGTTTAATAGAAAGTAAACAGTGTGCTGCGCTGAAATCAGGGCATTGTACCGCTTCCTTCACACCAGTAGCTGCGTGGTAGCGTTCACTGCTGGTTTGAATGAGCTCTAAACCTGCAGTGTCCCCACATCTTGATAGTTGGTTGTGAAAATGAACTGCACTCTTACATTTGTTTTGAAAATCGTGTGTAGCTGCAGCATTATGCAATCATGCGTGATTAGATCTGGACAAGCCACACTATCATCAGAGCAGTGCTGCTCCTGCATTGTCCATCTGGAAGGCTGAAGGTGTGGAGGTGACACCACTGTATACCTTAACTCAGGCGGGGAAAGTGGTGACACCCTCCTGCTTTGCTGTCTGACAGAGGTGTATGATTAACAAAACTGGCTGGACAGAAATCAAAATCATTTGGCAGATAGGACAGTTCACAAGTGTGTATTTAAATATATATTAATCGCTTCTGGAGTTCAGCTATTACTGCAGTCATCCGATAGTCATTTTACAGTGATTTTAGTTCCCTGGTTCAAAAAGGGTAGGTCACCTTTATAGTTTGACCTAAAATGTAAAGGATCTGTGCAGGTAGTATAGGCATAAACAGTTATAGGTATTTTGAGAATTTGTTCAAAGGAATTTCATACCTTTAAAAATATGTAGAGATAATTAAAAAATGGGAACAAGCAATATGGAGCAACCAATCAAAAATCATCTTTTGCTGATCTCTGTGCCGTAAGCTGAAATCTAGTTACAGTGCGTTGCTGCATTTTTCTTTAGTTCATTGAAAAAGATTGAGCTGGTTACATTGTATTGCAGATCCTCATTAGGGATAAGCACAGGTTCAGGTCAAACCCGATCTGAACCTGGAAGTAACTCCTCCCGAACACAGAAGGAAGCTCCTTCCTTCCGCTCCTCCTAATCAGCTTGATTTAGGCAAAGGGTTCGGATGCAGTGACATCATTGGCCTTATATTGCTACATGCCTATATTTAGTAAATGGCATTTCATGGCTATGTGGCCATATTGGGTAAATTATGTCAACACAAGCATCCCGCACCTTTGTTTTCATGCACCTCTGGGGCGGGGAATGCCTGTACTACAGCGGATTGGGTGGAAGTGGCTGTGGCACTTCCTTGTTCAGAGGAGCTCAGGTTTGTCCAGGTTCGGTCTGAACCTTAATTTAACCCTAATCCTCATAAAGAAAGCACGTGCATTAAATGCTACTTATAAACTACATTGCGTTCACAGATTAGGGGGAATTTACTATGAAGCATACAGAATTTGGAGCAGCTGTGCATGGTAACCAATCAACTTCTATCTAAGCTTTAAAAAGAAAGCTAGCAGCTGATTGGTTCCCATGCCCCGCTGCTCCAGGTTTTGTCTGCTTCAGTCTTCGTAAATTCCCCTCATCGTGTTTAACATATGAAAATGACTGCTCTTGTTGAAAGGGAATGCACTGACATTTTTGAGTGGTGTACAGGTATGAGATTTGTGGCCAATTGTGGGAACAGTATAGTTTCCGTATATAAAACAGAAATGACAGAATTGGTTGGGTATAACTTTTAGATAGCCTTAGATTAGATCTATACTGTGCTATGCTAAATATAGTTTTTTTTAACCAATACAGAACACGGGCAAGCTTAAAATTGGGACCTACACAGGACCGTTGCAGCATGGAATTGTCTATTCAGGAGGTATGGTAAATCTGTGGATAACAGTATCACTAATGTGTGTTCCTAAGGCAAACATTTTAAATGAGTAAACGTAAAGTGTATCTAAAGCCACATTTTTTTTTTCTTCAGTTTTGTATGGCTTTTAGGGGTTACAACTTCTGTCAGGTTTTCTTTGTAGTGTGGCCCCACAAAGGAGATTCACCTTATTGTGCTGGTGATCACTCTCACTGGGAATAAAAAAAAGCGAGGTAACATTTTCAAGTGACAACTGGCTGCGAGGACATTTAACTCACTTCATATTGTGTCTGCAATACAGGAAATGAAGGGAAATCTCTTCAGTTGAATAAAGAAAGAAAAAAAAAGAACCTGACAGGGGTTTAACCATTCACTATTCCATCCAATTGCAAAAAAGGCTTGGCTTAATATTTGTGCATCACTCGGCTGTAGATCCTCAAATCATCTCTGAATTGGTGCTGACACTGTCCTTCTGGAGGGTTTTGTTCCCCATTGTCCCTGTGTGTTGTAAAGTAGCTGCCGCTGGAGGTTGGACTGCAATTTTAATACAAATTAGAAAACTAAACGTGAGATTATAGTCCATCACAGGAGTGAGCTTGGAGCGGTGGCTATATTACAACACACACCGGGACCATGGGGAACAAAAGTAGCCACCCTCCAGAAGGAAGGATAGAGACAGCACCAATTCAGAGAGGATTTGAGGATCTACAGCTGAGTGATACACAAATAATATACATTTTTATTAATAGGAGTTAAATCTTTAAAATGCATTCAAGTACTCTGACTGAGTTTTGTGTCACTTTAAATGACTAATAATTGCTACTGTAATGAATGTGCTTCACCAGTGCTAAATATAGTATTCAATAGTTTGTCATTTTATCTTTTAGGGCTCCTTCACAACATATTAGTTGAACTGCACAGATCAACGCAGGCTCAATGCCAGGGCACATAGAAAACAATTGCTTTTTATTTTCCCTGTTCCCACAATAGCACTGCGTTGAGGTCTTTCCTCATGTTTCCATGCCGCAGCTCGACTGTGGTGCATAGAAGTAAATGAAATGTCCTTTTGTGACATCTCAATAAAGGGAAAAAAAGGTAATCAGTTCCCTGTTTCGTAAGAATGCAAAGCACCACCCCTACACAGTGAGCACCAGACTGGGCCTGTATTAGCGTAAGGGCTTGTTAGAATGAGCCCTAAAGAACAAGCAGACTTTACCATAAAGGGCAGTAACCCCCTCCTTTCTAGAAACCCCTGAGCTTATGTAACCCATTCTTTCCAAGCCATTTATACTTACCTTCACCCTGGCTGTAACTTGCCATATTCTTCTAATCCTGTAGCCAAACTCTTCTTTCCATTTGCTATGCCTGTGCAGTCGATCCTCAAAGACCCCCATGGGCCCATCTCCCCAATGTCCTCTACTTTGGGGGATGGCCCTTTAAAAGTTCAAGACACCTGGGAGACGCATGAGGCTCTGAAGCCAGCCAGTTTCTGGATGCTGATGTAATATATTAACCTATTTTAAGAAATCCTAAAATGCTGTTTTATTTCTTAGGCTCTTCAGACATTGTGTGCGACCTGTTAGGAGCTAAAGGGAAAGATATATTGTATATTGGAGATCACATCTTCGGCGATATTTTGAAGTCCAAAAAGCGTCAGGGGTGGAGGACATTCTTGGTCATCCCGGAGATGGCACAGGAGCTGCACGTGTGGACAGACAAAAGCTGTAAGACGTCTCAATCATTCTGTTGATGGAACAGTATTTAATTATAGAATAATATGTAACTTGGACTTTAGATACTACTTTAGGACATAGAGTGCAGAGAATTATGAATCATTTTAATCATTGTTTACCTGTAACTTTTTTGACTGCTAATGCAATTAGTGTCATAGAATTAAATAAAGGTATTGACTATATAAAGTATTACTTAGAGAAAAATTGGATAGCTGAAAACATTTAACGTCATTTGTTTTGTAGTGAACTGACAAATGTAGTGTAATTAATTAGAAACTAGCTGTTTGTATAGCTACTTGTTTCCCCAGACAGTTATTTGTTAAAACAAATAGGTCCAGTTAATACTATTTTGTGTTAAAAGGTCAGTTCACTCAATACTGATATTCCTGTTTATAGCAAAATTCCAGCAAGGTAAATCATACACTTTCATTATAAATGTGTCTGGGACTGATGGTGAGAGTTCTGAAGCTGTCATTCTGGGTCCCCTATCTAATGTGGCCATATGAAGTCTAGCATTACTTGTTAAGGATGTCTAAGCCATCTCTGTAAGATACATTATATAGCAGTGATTCCATGACTGGATGTTGTTGGGACAGTAAATTTGGCAAACATATCTCATCTCTATAGTCATTCTGGGGATGTGAGAACATTCTGGGGATGTGAGAACTCTTTGGGTGTTTGTGCCTAGAGTTTTACATCTATAACTGAGATATCTGTTTCAGGTGAACTGACCCTTTAAGTGCTCATTGATGGAGTCATATTCTTTTACAGAAAAAATGTCAATGACTTTCCTTGGTATATTGATACAAGCTTTTATGAACTAATGAGGGTGTCTGGTCAAAACATTTCTGAGTATTACTATGGCAGAAAACAAAGTTCAGTTACCGACACCAGTGACTCGGAATTCATTTTGAATTACTGAATTTTAATGTAAGAAATGGAATGGAAAAAATTGTGACAGGTAGGGGTTTTGTTACGACAGAAGAGACTCTGTATGTCACTCTTTTGTCATAATTGCTCCTCCCTGCCTGCCAGTGTTTGTGTACAGTAAGTCACGCATGCGTAGCTCAGTGCACAAGCTCGACAAGGTTCTGTGCCGTGATGAATTAACTGCCATGTGCATGCATGGGAGTTACATTATCCCTACCAATGAAGAGGGCGAAGATGCCAAACCTGGAATAAGACCAGGGAAAGATGGAAGTGCCAGCGACGGAGGAGAGCACTGATGTTTCAGCACTGGAGGGGATCGCCTGCAAGGTAAGTCTGCCATAATGTACTGATATGGTGTGCATACTAGCAAATTATGGCATACACCTCCTGGGGGCCCACTTTTACAATTTTGTGTTGGTGGTTTACTACCACTTAAACCATAAAATAATTTGAGCCACCACAGAGACCAGACACCACACCCCGAAAACTTACCATACATCCACAAAACAAAGATGGGGCTTTTAAGGTGTCATTCCAAGGGAGCAAAGGGAACGAATAATATATATAAATACATCACATGTTCAATAATATAGTACAATAAAACAATATTAAAACATATAAAACCATTGCTCATACTAGAGTATGTACCAGCAACATCTTCCTTCACGTTATTAATGACTCATCCAGGCATCACACCTCCCTGGATCCTACCAGCACATTGTTCTTAACAATCAGCTCAGTATGCACTTTAATCATCAATTTACATATACAATTTGTGACAATGCATTCCTTAACAATAACATTAGTCCCTAACTTGTGCTTAAATGTGCAGTAGGTCCAGCCTTCTATGCGTTTCGCCAAAGCTTCTTCAGGAAGAAAGGAGGCAGCCGTTTTTAAAACTTGGTACGTTAATCCACAGACCCAGGGAACGTCCCCCATCATTCGGGAGGAAATATATAAAGAGTGGGAAGTGGAGAAAGATTGCAAATTATTCAGACCCTGATACCCTTCCATCGATACCGAACATTGTGCTCAGAACAGAATTAGTCCAACAAGGTCTATGAACACATCGCCGTGGCATTGTCCGCTTCCCACTTTCTTTATATCTCCAAATGATGGGGGACGTTACATGGGTGTGTGGATTCATGTACCAAGTTTTAAAAAGGGCTGTTTGTCATAAAGTGAGGATGTTAAGTCCTCCATCAACCTAATTTTCCTCTAACCTGTGTATCCAGATTTCCAGAGATGGGCAAGCAGTTTGCTGGTGCACCAATACCTGTTTTTCAGTATCAAGTACCGATATTTATCTTTCAGTACTCGCCGATACTGGTACTTCCGCTAGCATGAAGCCGGCTTCCTGGGCAGTTGCCCGCCTTCTTGATTGCCTGGGAAGCCGGCTCCATGCTGTTTGGCTGGCTCCATGCTGATTGGCAGTTAAGCCGGACTCCCAGCCAATCCGCATCGAGCTGGCTTTCTGGCCAATCAGGAAGCCGGGAGGCAGGTTATGACTGAATGAAGTCGGCTTCATGATGCTTGGCGGCTCGATGCTGATTGGCTGGGAAGCCGGCTCCATGTTCCTTCGCGGCACTGCCGGTCAGAGGAAATCTCCCTCTGACCGGAAGTTCCGGTATCAGAGGTAAGTAGCGGTGCATTTGGGCGAGTACTTGCCCAAATACTCAGTATCGGCACCAATACCGATACTAGTATCGGTATCGGTGCATCCCTAGATATTACCCTGCCAAGTTATGTTCTACTCCCTCGATTCCCATCATGGTTCTCATTACAAAGAGTATCTGTCTTAAATGATGACGGCAGTGTTAGAAGCGGCTTTAATCCTCTGATGGGTGCAATTCTTCTTTGACATGGGAGACTGCACTAGACATAGTATGTGCGAGTTAAAAAACTGGATTTGCAACGCTGATACTAATATCAGCACTTGTGACAAATTCCCTTCAAAGCAGCAAATAAGATGAAATAGAATTTTGCAAGAGCTGATAAATAGTCCATTTCTCCACTAGGAGGCCTTCACTTTAAAGCTTTTATCTACTACTGAGCGTTAACCATTGACTGACATAGCATCTAATGCCTCTGAACCTTTTAGTGTGAGTCCATTCACAATTTCAACCACCAGCTGTCTTCTTTTCCCATTATCCTGGCTCCTGCCACATCTTTGCTCGGATTGCATGTGATGTCACAGTGGAGGCCAATTGGTTGACTGCTCGGTTTTGGGTGGGCTTACACTTTAATGTGCTTTGCATATGTATGATAATAACTCCATCTATGAATAGTGGACAGGCTAATAACCTAGTATATTGGTAAGCAGATGACCCGCAACTAGGCTGTTGTAGATAAGTTCAGGGTGAGGGTTATAATCTTTATATTGTGCAGGACATGGTTTCATGTCACCCAGAGGAACTTTAACCCTACATAGGATTGCAGAAACACATGTGCATGAGGTGCCTCATCAAGAGTCCACCACCTTTTTTGCTGAGTGCCAAAAGTAAGATTTATTTTTTTTTCCCCCCTTAATCCTACTCGAGTGCTGCTTCAAATAAAATGTATCTTTTTTCCAATGTATATTTAAATACGCACACATACGGTGTATTTCTTCTCGCTTTTTAAGTCCCGAAATCCATCCCCAGGTCATTCCCACCTTTTGCTTTGTTTCCTTTCTATTCTGGCTGTTTCCTGGCATCCTTCCCTGTCCCCAGTGTCACATGACACAGCTTGATGGCCTCACTAAGTCTTCATTTTGTGGGCAGCATGCTAAGATTCGGGCAAGCTTGCACAATGCCATTTATTGTTGACACTCGGCTGCCAGAGGTTCTTCCAGCTTGGCAAAAGACCTTGTGGTAGTGAGATGAGTCAGATCTAGATTGTGCTTGTTATACTTCGGGCAGTTTGTCTCCTTTCATAGTGTTTCTGTTTTGGGTATCTCTATTGTCACTTCCATGCCTAGAAGTCTCTGGCTTTGGTGTTCTTGCTTTCCGCCTTTTTTTTTTTTTTTTTCTGTTATAAAATGTTTGCCTTTAATAGACATCATTTTGTGTTGTTTATTTTGTTTTCATTACGTCTTCTATGTTAAGTGCTTCATATACTTCTGTTATTTTATTCAATTCAGCACTTTTTGAAGAGCTTCAGAGCTTGGATATCTTCCTGGCAGAATTGTACAAGTAAGTAGTATGTGAGTGTACAAGATGGAAAGAGTAATGGCATTGCATGACAGAGTTGGCCAAGTACAATGTAGCAGGAATATAAAGCCACTCATACATATCCTTAAAGGAGAACTATGGGGTCAGGGCTTTTCCCCATAGTTCTCATTTGACAATATAACATCGTGACAATATAACATTATAGGAGGACCTGGATAAAATAGGGGAGTGGGCAATACTATGGCAGATGAGGTATAATGTCGATAAATGCAAAGTAATGCACTTTGGACATAAAAATAAACAAATAGGCTATACAATCATGGGTATGCCGCTAGGGAAGTCAGAAATAGAAAAAGATTTGGGGGTCATTGTAGACCACAAACTGAATGGTAGCTTGCAGTGCCAAGCTGCAGTAAACAAAGCTAGCAGGGTCTTGTCCTGTATTAAGAAGGGGATGTATTGCAGGGACAAGTCTATAATTGTGCCTCTATATAGATCGTTGGTTCTGCCACATCTGGAGTACGCAGTCCAGTTTTGGTCGCCGGTACTGAGAATGCATGTCCTTGAACTGGAGAGAGTCCAGCGGAGGGCAACAAAACTAATTAGGGGAATGGAGGACCAGAGCTATGAGACAAGGCTTCTGACCTTAAACATGTTTACGCTGGAATTAAGGAGATTAAGGGGGGATATGATTTTCCTGTACAAGATGTTCAATGGTGACAGCAACATTGGCAACAAACTGTCTGAGATTAACTCCATTACAAAGACTAGAGGCCACCACCTAAAGTTGGTGGAGAAATAATTCCAGCACAATGGGCCAAGAGGGTTCTTTACAGTAAGAGCGGTTAAGGTCTGGAACTCACTGCCACCGGCAGTGATTTCAGCCAAGAGTGTAGATTTGTTCAAGAAACGTTTGGACAATTTCTTGAGGGACCGTAATATCCAGGGATACCAGTATCCCTAAGAATGAGATGATGCGTGGACCTATATGGGTTGGACTTGATGGACGTATGTCTATTCAACCCCAAATACTATGTAACTCCTTAGGGTAACGGGAGGACACAAACTAGCGTCCTCCCGTTACCCTAAGCTCAGTATACCGCGAGCCACAGCTCGCGGTATACTCAAACGCCGCAGCGGATCCCGACATCGATGTCGAGATCCGCCCAGCTACGTGAGTGACAGCTGGCTCTGCCTATCTAGAGGCAGAGCCAGCTGTAACCACCAGGCCCCCCCCTGTCCGTCCGTCCGTCCGTTACGCCAGTCAGCACTGGAGGATCTGAGCGGGCAGGGGGGAATCCAACCCCTTCCCTGTCACGGCAGAGAGACGTGACAGAATCGAGAAGTGAGCGAACACCGGCATGTGTTCGCTCACCTCCCGATCTACTGAGCCGACCTGTGACAGTCTCATTGTCATGGGTCGGCTAGAACTATGAGGTGAGTGAAAAGCACTCACCTCATAGTTCTCCTTTAAAACTGCTCTAATGTCCAGTGCCTCTCTCCTTCCAGCCGTGGGTGCCGGCAACCTCTGGGTTGTGTCACTTCCCCCACGCTGTCTACATAGGATAGTAGTGAACCCACATGCTGCTGATCCATTACATCAAAAAACTTTATTCTGAAATTGCACAGCGCTGATCCCTTGCGTGCAAAAACGTTATTCCGTCAGCAGTGACAGAGACATTCCACACACGTCCGCCCTATGACGTGGTTATCATAACTCATCAGAGGGAGGACATGGGTGAAAAGTCTCTGTCACTGCTAACAGAATGCAGTTATTGGACACAAGAGATCAACGCTGTGCAATTTCAATATCTTTGTATGCAAGCAGTAATATAAAGCTTTATTTTATTATATGAGCAGGTTGTAGCGGGTGTTGAAGTAAAGCAAGTGCAGGATGTCCTAAATTGCTTCTTCAGCATCTATTGGAGGAGGAAACCTGTTACGTTACCTGAAACATTTATGTATTGTGTTTATCTCTCAATTGATGGGAGAGTGCGGTAATGCTAGAACCTCTGTCAGGTATTCTTTGCTGTATTGGTCAATACTGGGTAGGATTCCCCATCACACAGTGTGTAGCTACTGGGACAGGAAGTGAAGGGAAATCTCGGCAAGGACACAGCAATAAAAAAAAAAACCTGAGAATTGTCCTTCCTTACTCTACTCAAAACTGAAGAAATAAATTTTGGTTTGGGGTTGAGTTTCAATTAAGTCCTGTGGTACAGCATTTGGCGTTCTTTATACTCTAGCCCTGCATGGTTAAACAGTCTGCTATATCTTTCGGCCATTCGTTTTACAATTCTAGAAAAACAAAAACATAAGCGCACGACTGATACTTGGTCACTGGAAAAATCACGGGCTGTAAATTGTGGTGTGCAGGCTCTCACTGACAGGGAGAGGACCCTGCAAATTCGACATATAAACAGAAAAAAACAAAAGAGAGAGCGCTACTACCTAGAGAAAACTTGTATTGAATGGCATCTATTCATAAGAGAAAGAACAAATGTGTGTAACTTACGGTTGGAAGTCTGCAAATGTGTCAAGGATGGTGGAACAGTGACCGGTATCTAGAGGGAGTCTAAAGCAGAATGCTGCAGCAGTGGATGGATGAAGGGGCACTGTGAAAGATCCTAGCGGCAAGCGTGCACGGCTGGCCAGGCCGGGCCACGGCGGCTATGGGGGGGAGGAACGCGGCGGTTGTGGAAACGGGACCGCAAACGGCTGTGTTCGCTGCGTGTATGGTGGAGTCAGATAGGTGGGCAGAGTATCGACAAGACGTCTGAGTGGGTGGAAGCTGTGCACAGACGGGCTCGCTGTATCGTGTCGGCTACGCGTTTCGAGGCACAGCCTCTTTGTAAAGTTCTTTGCCCTAAGGCTTGACAAAGAGGCTGTGCCTCGAAACGCGTAGCCGACACGATACAGCGAGCCCGTCTGTGCACAGCTTCCACCCACTCAGACGTCTTGTCGATACTCTGCCCACCTATCTGACTCCACCATACACGCAGCGAACACAGCCGTTTGCGGTCCCGTTTCCACAACCGCCGCGTTCCTCCCCCCCATAGCCGCCGTGGCCCGGCCTGGCCAGCCGTGCACGCTTGCCGCTAGGATCTTTCACAGTGCCCCTTCATCCATCCACTGCTGCAGCATTCTGCTTTAGACTCCCTCTAGATACCGGTCACTGTTCCACCATCCTTGACACATTTGCAGACTTCCAACCGTAAGTTACACACATTTGTTCTTTCTCTTATGAATAGATGCCATTCAATACAAGTTTTCTCTAGGTAGTAGCGCTCTCTCTTTTGTTTTTTTCTGTTTATACGTTCTACAACTCTACATATGGAATGAATTAACACTAAACATTTATATCCTAGACATCTGGACAGTAGCAGTAATGAGAGGCCTGACATCAGCTCCATCCAGAGACGAATTAAGGTATTACAACCATTTATTCACAAAGGTCATTTCATCATGTTAATGCCATAACAATATGTGGCATCTTATTACATTTTTGCTATTATTAAATACACTGTCAAGTCACTGCATACCTGCATATCAATTGTGCTTTATAATGTGCCCAAGTGTGCAAAATCATGTTACTACATGGTCTAGCAGTATTGCCAGCATATTATCCAGTAAAAAGTAATTCTCCTTCTGGAGTATTTTATAGAGGTGCACCGAAATGGAATTTTCAGACCGAAACCGAAAATAATAATAATTTTTTTCCTAACCTTTTTAAAATTATTTCTTCAATATTATATTTTTATTTATTTTTTACTTTACTGTCAGAGGCTTTGGGAAATATCAGGGGTCTAAACAGACCCCTGATATTTCCCTTATAAAATAGAAAAAGAAATTGAGGACGCAGAGTCCTAAATCTGTTTTTCTGCAGCTCATGTTATAAATGAACAGGAAGACTCTATACTGAGTGCTCGGGTCCTTTCATAAACTGTAGAGATAGTATGTTTACTATGTCCACAATCATGAATGAACAGGAAGTGATGTAGAGCACTTCCTATTCATTCATGATTGTGGACACGGTAAACATACTAGGTTATTTACACAGTCGCAGCAGGCTGAGCGCATGGTGCGTGGAAGAGAGCTCGGCCTCCTGTGACACCACTGACAGCACTCTCCTTACCGCCCCGCTCAGCCTCCTGAAAGTTTATCTCCTTCCCGCTGTATGCTGCGCTGTGTCAGAGGGGGACACAGAGCAGCACCCAGCAGGGAGGAGAGAAACTAGAGATGCACCCCATTTTCGGTCCAAAAATTGTACTTTCAGTATTTTGCCCAAAGTACCATTTTCGGCAGGCGAACTTTAGGTGCATCCCTAAGGCCCCATTCACACTTAGCGACATACCTTTTGCAGCGGATCCACGCGGCCGGGATAGCGCGACTTTCGGGGCGACGATCCAGCGACGGTAGCGCAACCTTCTCCGTCGGGCTCCATTAGAAAAAAGCAAAATCCGCTGAAAAACGGGTCCTGTAGAAGCGACTTGCGACCGCGACGAGCGACATGGAGCTAAGACAGCTCCATTGAATAGCATTAGCCGGCGATATCGCGCGGCAAAAATGCGCGATATCGCGCTGCAAAAATCCGCGATAACGCGGCGGAAATCGCGCGATAAATCGCTTAGTGTGAATGGGGCCTAATATTTTATCATACAAACACGCAAACTGATCTTTTCAGTGTATTTACATACTATGTACAGGGATCCTTTTATGTTTTTTATGTGATTGTTGCAAAACTAGGACACAGGTAGGAGTTTTGATTAGAATAGTCAGACTTTACAAAGATCAGAAAAGCAGATGTAAAGCAATGGCAAACTACTACATATAGAGAACCCTCATTTGTCTTTTTATGTTTCATGCAGAAAGTCACTCACGACATGGACATGTGCTATGGGATGATGGGAAGCCTTTTCCGCAGTGGCTCCCGTCAGACGTTGTTTGCCAATCAAGTGATGCGATATGCAGATCTCTATGCAGCCTCCTTCATCAATCTCTTGTATTACCCATTCAGCTACCTTTTCAGAGCAGCACACGTCCTGGTAAGTTACTCTCTCCACTCAGCATCTGAATGTCACTCAATGGATTTCATGATCTAATATGTCTTATGGAAGAACTCTTTTTTTTTTGCCATGGCAGCCCATCAGATTTTCCCTTTTATAGTGTATTGTGACAGAATGTAGATTCTGTTTGGTTGCTTATTGCAATAAAAACAGTACTTTTGCAGTCTCAAGTGATTGAAAAGTTTTGCGATATGTTTCCCCTATTTAGGTTTTTAATGTCTGGGTATCATGTTTTGTGACTACTTCATACAGCAGCTCAGCCAAGACCCTTTTCAGGAATGTCCAAAAGGACTTCTGCAAGTGACAACACTAGGGATATGGGCAAATGTGTTGCCAGTGCACCACTCAGTAATACAGCTCCTTGGTAGTATGCATAAACGTCTGGTTAGAACTCATGAGTCACGTAGTAAATAGTGGAGGATTTTTTTTTTTTTGGCATCTGTTGAATTTTTTTTGTTCTGAAAGAAATATGGAAGCTGTTGTTGAACTGGAGCAAATATACAGCATCCAAAATCAGAGTAAATGTAAAACGTCTGATATGCATGCTGGATGTGGGATGGATCAGCTTGACACCCGTGCAACTAGCATTTTCAAAACAGACGTTGGTAAAGGTAACCTCCATATTATTACAGTACACATTTCCTTTTAACAAAGTGTAATGTTTAATGTAATCACAAATTCATTGGTCACGTTCTGGTATATAAAGGCTTACCTGGAATTCTCACTATTGCTTGTAAAGTTGGAATGTGGTTAATTATCCAATCAGAAAGCTGGATTATTGATTTTACAAAGATCAGTTTATTTTAGGGGTGAGAAACTACGCTTTTTCTTTGTGACATTGTAAAACAATACAGTGTAAAACCATGCAGACCTCAAGGCTGGTTCAATAGCACATACTGAGCAGGCGTTTAAGGGATATAATAAAAACCAAGGTAAATAGAAGAAGTTTACAATACAGACACTCCTAAATTTAATGACCAAGTTCTGTTCCTACAACTAGGTTGTTAAGCGAATCAGCTCTAAACCGTACGTTACGTAGGTTGGCATACTGTAAATATTAATTTACAGTAGTCAATATTGACCGACTGTGGGCATGAGACTGAATAAGGATGACGTGAGATGAGCATGACCCATGTTCTCATACTGTGTACAATACTGACTGGTCGGAGGGCTGGTGGTAAGTCCGAGCGGTCATTAAACAGGCAGGTCATTAAGTGAGCAATAGCTGTATATGTTTTGCTGTGTTTTCAGATGTCTGAGAAGAACAAGACCTGCCAGCCAGTCATCTTTTTCTTTTTTTACCTAAGGGCTTGTGTTGACGGGCATGTGCAGCTTTCTTTCATGTGTGTTCTACTTGCGTTTGAGATCCTTCTGAGAATATTCACAGTTCATTGGCAGGTACATCTGACCTAAATGTGATCTTCTCAGCTACAGTAACTTGCTTTAGGCTGCTTTTGCATTCCCATTGACTTGTATGTGACGAAAGGAACTTCTGACACGAAGCCCATCGACACTTGCTCTAATACATAAAAGGTGAAAGTTGCCCGGTTGCTACACAGGCAAATCTTGGAGACAATTTCAGTAAATAAAAAGTTTAAACTTCTATTGTATGTTTGTTCCTAGATGCCCCATGAATCTACCGTGGAGCATATTCATGTAGATATTAATGAATCCGAATCCCCAATGGCAACAAGGAACAGCAGTTCCCTGGACTACAAAGACTCTGACTTCAAGCGACACCATTTGACCCGCTCCATCAGCGAGATCAAACCTCCTAATCTCTTCCCACAGACCCCACAGGAGATTACTCACTGCCACGACGAGGATGATGATGAGGAGGAAGAAGAGGAGGAGGAGGAGGAAGAAGAGTAGAATGCTGCAAGCCAATCATTATCCTAGACAGGATATAATAGTATCACCACAAGTCACTGTAATATTCTACAAGGAAACATTTTCCTTCCATGAGAGAATTTTCCATTCACACACAGAGAAAGAAACATTTATTTTTCTCTGGAATTTATTTCCTTTTTGTTTGTTTTTTTCCCGTCCAAAGTTCTGAACACAAGTTGGCATTTGCACTCTCTTCCTCCAGGTCGTACATTTCTGTCAGAGAGTTCCCCAGGCCTCTTCTGTGAGAGATGGGGCACAGTATTTACTACATTCTTTTTTCTATTGTAGTTTTTATACTTCCTAAACCATCCCGCAATGTGTTGTCTGCAGAGCTGAGGGATAACAAGGCACATGGCTCCTTTGAGCACATAGGTTTTGTATATTGCAAAGTAGCAATGTGAATTATTTAGTACTGGCAGTGGAGCGCTTGATGTGTTCCATTTTAGTTACCAGTTAATGGTTGTCCACTTAATGATGTCCATTCGGAGAAGTTGGGGATTTGCTGTGTTCCGCTGCTCTGACAGTAGTGACTTGAGCTCACCCTTGTGGACATTACTTGTAATATCCTGCCAAAGTCTAACAGTAAACAAATTTGCCAAGGGCAGCCTACGCTCTTCTGCAATGCATGTCACATTTCCACTATAGTACTTGCTTTGCTACTTGTCGCATTAAATCTGCTGCAGTGGAGTCAGCTCTTTTAGGTTTCTTTTAATGATCTTATTAAAGCAGACCCTACGTAAAAATGTCAGGTCTGGTTATTCTTTAGGGCCTCAGCCTTCCATGTACAAGTGTAACATTACATAAAAAAATGTATTTACCTTACACTGCTGCTTGTGAGTGATGCCATAGGCCTTCCGGTAAGATCCTGGGAGAGGTGAGGATCCCAGGTCATAAGCTGCTCTGGCACAGATTTGGGATCCTTAGATTTCCCAGGATTTTGCCAGAAGGCCAATGACATTGTTCTCCCCTATGCACCATGGATGGAAGCCATGGCTGTCAGAAAGGTATATATATTTCTCAATCTGTCAGCACTTGGTAGAGGTCTCGCAAGAACACAGGGGGAGTGACCCAGAAAGGATTTCACTACACTTGCACAGTGGGAGCTGCTGTTCCGTGACAGGTTGAGAAGCCTCAGAAAGCATGCAAAAAAGAACAAAAAAACAGCACCTTCTCCTCGTGCAATACTGTTTTATTCGTCCATTTACAAACATGCATTCAAAATACCCATCCAAACTGGTGAATATCGGTCGGCACCATAATATACTGTCAAATGTCCAAGATGTGAGCAGAAGCAATAAACTAGGCCTTGCTGATGTGTTTCCAGGGATAAACCCTCTTCCTCAGAGCAAATGGCACATAAGACAGGACTGAACCTCCCCCAATATATATATATATAATTACACACACAGTCATAACATTCAAAAAGCTGAGAGACGTGTGGGGTCTGCCCTTAAAAGCTGATTGCTTCACGAAGAGGCGGAACCTAAGGGCAGACTCCACATGTCTCTTCAAGCGGTCTTTCCAGTCCGTTAGGAGGGTGAACTTTAACATAATGGCCAAGTCGGACAATTACCAACAATTTAAGTCTGCCCTTAGGTTCCACCTCCTCGTCAAGCATTCAGCTTTTTGGATGTCGTGTGTGTGTGTGTAATTATATATTTATATATATATGTATATGAGGATGTTCAGTCCTGTCTTATGTGCCATTTGCTCTGAGGAACAGGGTTTATCCCTGGGAAGGCATCAGCAAGGCCGGGTGTTTTGAATGCTTATGGCACAGACAATATTTGTCAATGTAATTTTATTCAGTTTTATATGGACGAGTAAAACAGTATTTCACGAGCAGCACGCGCTGTTCTTTTTTGCATATTTTAAACTGTGTAACGCGGCATTTTTACATAGCAGGCCGGTAAAGGTTAAGCATTTTGATGCAAGGTCTGCTCTAATAAGTAGATCTGTTATTTGCAGTAAACTATATGGACCAGTCAGATTTCCTCTATCGGTTGATAGCAGACTGAAGAAAAGTGACTTCTGATTGGTTGTGTGGGTTACACTGCTTTTTTCCCCATAATCACTGATTCCTGGTGAATTGATAAACCGCAGGTAAATCCACATCCTTGGCTGCCTCCAGTGTAGGTGTAATCATTCATGATTGCAAAGTGTATTTGAGTTTTGCTGTGATTTAGTTTTTATATACAAAAAGCATCTATTTGTGGCCTCATAGATGGCTGCTGTCTAATGCTTTGCTTTGTATTGCTCTGGAAATACTGTAAAGGTTGACAATACTGTTCTAGCAAGTGCTTTTCTTTTGTGTTCACCAATATATATATATACAGAGAGTTGTTAGAAAGTATTTTTACTAAAAGAGCACAATGCAGGACAGCACAATGCTGCAGATTGGTGTTGTCATGTATCTGATCACACTCATTTATTGCGTGTTCATTCCCTCCATGACCCGAAGGCAGGCACTTTATGTATATTGCAGCATGGGAATCTACATGTCACATCTATCTTCTATCCTTGGCAGTACCTACAGGGTTGTCGTTTTATCCTGCTAATGTTGTTTCTCAGCAGGTGCAGACATTAAGATACATGAGAGAGAAATGGTGATGAGATTGATGGCAAGGCAGTAACGGGTAACCCAGAGTCCTGTCGTCTGTATGATGGAACTAAACACTTCACCTGCCAAGAATTAAAATTAGAAAGCTGGATTAAAGGACCAATACACCTACTATACAGCTTGCCGCACTAAAAGAACTGCTCGTAAGATTCACAAATGTGTATATTTAGCTTAACTTAAAGCAGAACTCTAGGGGGGAAAATGTTCTCAACTCCTGTAGTGGGGGCTACCCCTGCTCTGCAAGGGTTAAATGGTCGTTTGTGTCTAGGTGCTAAACAAAAACAGTTATACTCACCAGAACATACGAGCCGGCTTGCTGTTTTTGTGATCGCTGAAGTGTGTCTCCTCCTCCGCCGCCTCGGCATCCTCACGTCTACACACAGTCTATGCACAGTGTATAGAGTGTGATGACACCAGGATCCTCGTACCAGTGCAGCAGAGGGGGAGAGACATTCTAGACACTAGTCTAAGAACAAGCCGGATTGGATGGTCTGGTGAGTATAACTTTTTTTTCGCACCTAGACACAAAATGAGCACCTAATCCTTGCAGTGCGGAGTTAGCCCCACTGAAAGAGTTAATGTTTTTCCTGGAGTTCTTCAAAGTGAACATTTGCTTTACAGATGGAGGGCAAAGCAACAGGTACTCTTTGTTACAGCCCTCCACAGCATATACTTACCTTTCTTTGGCTCCTCAGCCGCCAGGAGTAAAAGGAAAGCTCTGCGTAAGCTGCAAGTTTATAAAGTGGGAGCTTACACACTGGCCCAGTTCTGTCACACGGAGCCAGTCATGTGCTCCTTCAGTGTTTTCTTTGTATCTCGGAGCTGATCAGGGGGAGTGAAGGAAAGGTAAGTCAATGCTGCTGGGAGAGTGAGGATGGGGAGTCCAGGAAACCTGTTGCATTGCCCTGAAAAAGAAAGACATAGGCTTGCTGTAGGATATTTGCCATGTAAGCATATTAGCATGTAAGGTTGAGGAGCCTCTGATTGTCATTTTGTTCTTTTCATATTGAAATGTTCCTTATTACGAATAATAACAGCACGTCAGACGTGTTTAGCACTCTTCAGTACCTGCACCTACTACGTGCAGAAGGGCTAGATCCCCTGTCAGGCTTTTAATGATGTGTTCACATTGGGGAGATACCCAAGTCATCACCCTGAGCTGAGCATGTCATCCATTTCTGACCTGAATTCTCAGTTTAATCCTAGGAAGAATTCATTGGGCAGCCAGGACATTGTCACCGACCTCTTGTCAATTTTCTGAACAGATATATGAATGCGCTGAAGAAAAACAAAGGTCAGCTCAGTGCCTTACCCTTCTTATCAGTGGGACAGGAAGTGAAGGGAAATCCTCTTAATGGGAACATGAACAGCAATAGAAAGATGGCAGAGATCTATCCATTTATCCAGGAGAAACATTAGTTATATATATATATATTTGTGAATGTTATTAGCAGCATTTTAGAAATGTACACAAACATGGAATTATGTTCAGTGGACCGTTAAAGAGAGTCTGTTGACTCCTCGTGTAATATCCTTGACATTGTTCTAAAGCATACACACACATGTTTTCTGTGCCCGTTCTGGATGGATAGTGTAGTATGAGTTATCATCTGGGTAACTGTGACATCACGTCTCTTGTTCTGCAATACAAAGTGCACGCTTTTATCACCCGCAGCCCTGTAACGAGCATATTGAAAACACAGACCAACTCTTGTGAATATTGCACTGATGTTTTCCTAGTCATGTTTGCAAGAAATGGAGAACTTTGTTTTACCAATATCTGGTATTGTAAGGCAGGGCACAACTGTGTTTTAGAAGTACAAATCCCAGCCTGAAGCTTGCAGGGCATGCTGGGACCTCTAGTGCCAGCACAGGCTGTTACAGGTCCTCTCACTGATGCCCGTGTGCGGAAATCATTATACTGTAATGGATCCACGTACAGCCGTGCTGCCGTTGGGTACTTACTGATGTCAGTAGTTGTAGATTCATTACATTCATACAATGTACAAAAAGCATCTTTTGAAATAACTCCTGCAAGTGTTGCCAGCACTAATGTGTAACCTTCCATATCCATAGTCCTCACTCTATGTACTTCAGCAATGTTGAAGGGCATGAAGGCAATGTTTAAACTTTTACATTTTATTTGTATAAGATTTTAGTTTTATTTCATAGTTCTGCAGGCTTTATAGACTGAAATATAAGCTCAGCCACTGTATATGTTTTACCAACAGGGCATTTCTGACCTATTTATCCTTGTTTGGCACATTGTTTTGTGTATTGAAAGTGACCAATATAGTGTGTTTCAGCTTTTTTTTTTTTTTTTTTCTTCGTTACAGATTTGTTTACTTGGATACGATTGCAAACTCTGTAATGTGATTTATTTCTTTCAGCTTGTAGTTTCTTTACTTTTACTAAAGACAAAGTCCACCCACACATGATTCAGCTCAGGGTGGAAACCATTGAGTAAAATCTCCCACTAGCTTGTTGAATTTCCTGCTGTTTCTCCAGTGACGGGTTCTCCTTGCTGGGGGCTGCTGCCCCCCTGAAATAATCGAGTATCCAGTGGCAGGCGTGAGGTACCATCTTAATGGCTTCATCAGGTGGGTGAAGCTGAGAACTCAGGTGAAGGAATCCTGTCACTGGTGGGTATAGGACCATAGTTAGTCAGGTTGAAAAAAGACACAAGTCCAGACACCACCTGATACTAAACTGTACATGTCTGGGTGGACTTAACATTTTACACATCACCCTTTAATTAAGGGACATTCT